CTTCCCAGAGACCAAACCGCACTGCGCGCTGCATGCTTCGGTGACTATTTCTGCCTTTCCTTTGGATTTGGATGGAAATCCTTTTAGAATCTTGTTATTCGGTTACATTGCCCAGTGATGCTGCCCAACAAGCAGAAAATAGAATCAAGCAAACCAGTATTTCCCTTAGAAAGGGGTGGCATGGGTTTTAGGAGCCAGAGTCTGAACTAAAGGTTTAGTACTCTCTAACACCAGTGCTCAGACTTTCTTTTATGTATATATATATATATACACATACAAATATATAAAATACATAAATTTTTTCTTTATTGATTTTAAAGAGAGAGGAAGGGAGAGGGAGAGAGAGAAACATCGATGAGAGAGAACACCGATTGGCTGCCTCCTGCATGCCCCCCACTGGGGATCGGGCCCACAACCTGGGCATGTGCCCTGACTGGGAATTGAACTGGTGACCTCTTGGTGCCTGGGTCGACACTCAACCAATGAGCCACACTGGCTGGGCCAGCGCTCAGACTTTCTGTTTTCAATGCCCATGGGTGTACTTGAAGTTTAAGAGCAGAAGATCAAACTCAACCCATCTCACAACATTTAAACAATGCTCATTATATCCAGAGATTTCTTGAGAGTTTCACAGTCAGACCTGGTGGTAGTTCATCTATAAATCTACAAGATGGAGTGCAGTTTTTCTTTTTGTTTTGATCTTAGTGAAAAAAAACCTGTAATAATTCACCAGGACAGAAAAAAAAAAAAAGAATTGTGACTTATGATTTATAATTCTCATAAGCTGAGATTGTTACATTATAAAAATTCATGTCCTATTTTAATTTAGAAAAATTTTTAAAATTTTGTTTAGGAACAGAAGGACCCGATTGGCATGTCACAGTGGAACAGGTGAAAGGTCATCCTCTGCCAGGGAGGAGATGTCATGATGTGAATGAGGCCATCCACTCCCTTTATGTCTCCACAACCCACTGACTGCACCAGAGAGAGTGGAGAGAGTCCTCTCGCGACAGAGAACTGCGAGGTGTTGAGACTGCACAGCAGCTATCAACCCACTTGGGAAACAGACAAAAGATACACGTGTTCCTGTTGACTAAAGACTTCTGGCTCATGTGGATCTAGCCGGGATTGTTGTATAATTTCAACATGCGTTTAGGATGACGATACAAATGTTAAATAAGAAACCAACTTTAGTTGTGCTCATGTGGATAGGTCTACAATTTTCTCCACAACTTAAGATTTTGTTGTCTACTGAACTTCTTCTGGAACATGGGTTTCATCGGGACATTGCTCCTTAGTCTCATACCATTTTGAACATTTCTGAAATCCTGATCAGTGACATTGAAGATTTTGTTTTGATAGTCTAGAGAAGATTTTCAAAGTTAAAATGGGAAGTTATATGGGAAAGACTTAAGTAAGCTCCAAATGTCCTAATCACATGTAATTTTTATTAAAATAACTAATAAAGTCTCCATATTGTACATTTAATCACTTATTTGAGTATATTCTATTACTTTTACTCATCCATTATCTAGTTCAAATACCATCAAAGAGAAAGTTTAAGTTCTTATTCACCAGAAAATATATATATTTTTTATCCTCACCTGAGGACATTTTTCCATTTTTTGTTCAGATAGAGTAGGAGAGAGAGAGAGAGAGAAACATCGACATGAAAGAGACACATCGAGAGGCTGCCACCCGCACGACCCAACCAGCCGGGGACAAACTGCAACTGAGGTATGTGCCCTTAGCGGGAACCGAACCTGGGTCTCTCTGGACCACAGGCTGACGCTCTAACCACTGAGCCAAACTGGCCAGGGCACCAGAAGATATTTTGAAAGAAATATTTTACTAACTGTTAAATGTTGGAATTCTCTGATCTGTTTTTAATAGTCCATTGCTAGTAACATGATGGAGACATTACCAATACTGCTAGCAGATTTTTAAAAGCTAATTAAACACATTAGAAGCAACAAAAATCAGCCACTTATTCATCACCAGAAAAAGAAAGATAATTGAATTAGACTGTATGCAACTAAAAGCTTGTTTCTTTTGGAAAATATTTACATGTGAACTTTTAACCAATTTATGGACATAATAGGTTTCATTTGCTCTAGAAGGACAAATGAAAATGTGAACTGAAAATAGAATAAAAGAATGCCAACTACAATCAAATTAAAGATGTACTTTATCAAAATAACCAATTTACAGCAGAGTATTTTTAAAAGTGAACAGTTAGTGAAACAATAATCTGGCTAAGGTAAGAATTTAGAATTAGAGTTGACGTTAATTCGGCGTGCTGCCCACCCAGCCTATTTCACTTACCTTGCAATAGTACAGAGACACGCAGGAAAGTATGCACATAATTGTTATAGGCACCAGAAACTGCAGAAAGGTGTTATCAGCTCAGACAGCCCCTGAGCTGGAGAGACAAGGCTGTTCCCTCCTTGGTTCTTGTCAGTCTCGTAGGAAGGAATTAAAATGAGCGGCCCAGACAATTGCGTTGTGGTAAAGCCAATTTATTAAAGTAAAGCGAGTAAATGTATTAAAGAAGCAAGACAAGCAAATCTATAAGTCTGGCTTATGAAGCGCAGATGGACTTTCTAGCTAGTCTGAGAAGTGCTGCCTGGTAGAACACTGGCTTTTTATATATTTTTTGTCTACAGATTTTTAAATTCCTCTGCCAGGTATCTTGGTATATATGGACTCTCAAGGTCTCCCTTTTATTCTGTTATGGCTTTCCCAGAATTTATGAGAAGCACCTGGCAATTTTAGCTTTAACGAGCCCTGAGACTGTTGGCTTCTCTGTTTAAACAATGAGATAAAATCTCCCTCTTCTCTCCTCCTTTCCCAAAGTGGACGACTTCTCTGTTTAGTGGGTGAGATAAATCTCTCCCTTCTTTCCTCCTGCTCCTTCCCCTACCCCCTCCTGCCTTGGCAGTTCCAGGGTGATCCGCACGATGTATTGTCTGGTGGGGAGAAAAGGCATTAACACTCTCCTCCGGGCCTGCAGTATGTGGTGAGTGAGGAGAGCTATCAGTCATTTGTGCTCAAGGTAAGGTTTGGCTGCCAATTGGCTGCAAGCTGTCTAAACTGTTTGGCTTTGTTTAATTTTCTTGTCTCAGTTTCCCTATTCCTCCTGCCCTGGAATTTTCTTCGCTTCTCACTACCCTGTAACATAACTACTCAAGTCAAATAACTTATTCAGTAGATGCAGGGATGATATATATATATATATATATATATATATATATATATATTTGTTTCTTTTCTTTGCCTAATCTTTTTACCTTTTTCAGCTAGCCCTGCAACCCCCCCAAAATGATCAATATTAACAGGTATAATGTAAGGGAGTAGTTTGAAAATGCTAATAGTCAATATCTATGCTAGCTTCATTATAGATTGATATTTAATTGATTAGTCTTCTTTCTCCTGTGAACACATACCTTTCCTTATGAGAATTAAGTGTTCGTGTCTGACTCCTCAAAGCTCTCCTATAAAAGCTGTCAGGGTGGTATTATCCCCATTTCACAGATGTGGGCCCAAACCGGCACCCCATAGTTTATATCCTACCCTCATGTGGCAGATTTTTGGGCAAAGACCATGACCGACCTTCAAATGAGCTAGTTTTGATGAATCAGAATCAAGGGGACCACTTTTTCTCCTATCATATTCCCTCGACCTAGAATTCGCTTCATTTGGAAAAATTCACTCATGTAGGTTTAATTCAGAAATCACCTCTTCTTGGGAATAGATTCCACTGGAGTAGATGCCATTATTCCCTCCTCTGTTCCTCATAATTCTTTATTCATCACTGTTGTGATAACATTTATCATACCATATCACAGCTGATGACATGTGCGTCTGCTTCCTCCTGCAGAACTTAGTCATCTTTGTATCCCTCTCACAGAGCTTGTCACAAGGTTAGCATGAAGTAGCTACTCAATATTTTTTAAAAATAAATTGAATAAGTGAGCCCACAGACAAGTGAACAGGTAAGAAGTAGTGGATATTGCAACCATTCATATCCTTTAAGTAGATCCTGTCAGTGAGCGAGGAAAAGGCTTAAGAGTAAGGCAGGAAGTTAATATAAAAAGTGATTTTTAAAATGTAGATAAAGGAGCTCTGACCGGTGTGGCTTAATGATTAGAGCATCAGCCCACGCACCGAAGGTCACTGGTTTGATTCCTGATCAAGGGTACTCACCTGGGTTGCAAGTTCGATCCCTGTCCCTAGTTGGGATACATTTGGGAGGCAACCAATTGATGTGTCTCTCTCACATAGATGTTTCTCTCTCTCTCCTTCCCTCCCTCCCTCCCTCCACTCTCTCTGATGGAAAAAATATCTTTGAGTGAGGATTAACAAAAAATAAAATGTAGATAACGGAGAAAAAGAATTGACCTAAAATGCAACCAATGCAACTCATCACAGTGAATGACACAGTGAATATAGTCAGAAGCAGGCACATTACCATACAAAGAGAAGGATGTCATTCCCGAATAGCCCAAGGTTTCTTGTTTAAGCACATAATTCTCTTATATGCACTCTTTAAGACAGGAGGAGAGATGAGAAGGATGTTATTGATAATACAGAGGCCTGCCAGAGAAAGAACCTCAGTGAGTACTGGCAATAAGGAGTTCTCCCCAGAAAGGGTCTCCAAGACAGCACACCTTTTATTCTCAGTCTGGTGAGGGTGGAAACGTTACAATTATCAACAAGGAAACAGACTTTGAGTCCCTGCCTCAGGCAAATACTTTGCCAAGAGTTTTCATAGATTTTCACATTTTTCTAACACGAGTTAGACATCCTGGTCCCCATTTCACAGGCAGAGAAACTGAAGATCAGAACAAGTGAGGCTGCACACTTAGTGGGGAGCTTTGATCAAACTAAGTTTGGGGCTCCTCCTATTATACCCTACAACCACCAGTTTTTGTGTTCGGAAACATCGTTACTCACCTATAGGGTTACACTAACACTATCCCCACGTGAAGTCCCTTTGCTTAGGATGCTTCGCATTGGCTGAACTGTAATTTGAGGATTCCTTTCACGTGAAGCTGGAGAATTTGGCTGTACTCTTTGGGCATCTCGTGGAAACCGCGTTTCGGTAAGTTGTTGTCGTAGTAGTGATGGCTGACAGGCGTGTCCTGTGTGGTTTTCGAGAACGGCCAGAATCCGTACAGCTTCACGTTCTCACACAGTTCCACAGCCACGCTCGCGATCATCAGGCCGGAGGACAGGCGATACTCTGTGACACCTTTAGTTCTCCAGAAGAGGGCAAGATTCTTCAGGTACTTGGGATGGAAATATACAGCCTTTTGTCTTGCATTAGACTCTTTCAGTGTGTTGTACACGTTAAAAGAGGCACCGGTATTGACCCTGAAGGAAAACGCTGGCAGAAGAAGGAATGTGTCTCCATAGGCTGCAATGTCCTCCAGAAATACTGCTTTCTTTTCCTTTAAGTTCCTGTATCTGCCAAATTTTAAAAAAACAACAACAATAATAATAACAATAATAATCAAAGTAGTGGTTTTGGTAACACAGGCTAAATTTACCTCTGGTCAGAACAACTGAACCATGCATATCACTGCGTATATAAAAGACAAACCAGAGACACAGAGAAAACTCACAGTAAGTATCTTATAAATATCAAGGGCTAGGCCTTAATCTCTCTCTATTGGCATTTCTAGGATTTTATTTTTACTTTCTTGCTGGACACACATTTTTTATATTCTTTGATCTTCAATCTCAATAGTTTTTTTCTAAGTTGCTTTTTGATGCTGAAACACCTTCTAAATTTATAAAGATGAAATGTTTTTCTCAAACATCAGACATTCTTAAACTATCTATACATTTAGAAAAATTCATTGAACTGTACTCTTGTGATTTGTACACCTTTTGTACATATGTGATTATAAAATAAGTTTCCTTTAGAAAACCTAAAAATACACACAAACATATACTTTTTAAATTTCCTCTAATGTGTTGGGATAGCTCTCTACATGTTTAATTTAAATAATAATCACAACTGTGTGTATTTTGAAAGTAAGCTTTTGGAATACAGATGCAATATTTTACATTATTTAAAAAAATATTAGAACTAGTTGAGGGGTGCATTCTATTAATAACTATTATTATTATTATTATTTTTTTTTATCCTCACCCGAGGACATTTTTCCATTTTTTGTTCAGGTAGAGTGGGAGGGAGAGAGAGGAACAGAGAGAGAGAGAAACATCGATGTGAAAGGAACACATCGAGTGGCTGCCACCCGCATGACCGACCAGGGCCGGGGACAAACTGCAATCGAGGTACGTGCCCTTAGCGGGAACCGAACCCGGGTCTCTCAGGGCCGCAGGCCGACGCTCTAACCGCTGAGCCAAACCGGCCAGGGCTATTAATAACTATTATTAATCACTTTTGATTAAAATAATACAGTAAAAGTATGTACACAATTTGCATTAACCAACCAACATTTCATGGTAGTGACATGTGGAAAATGAAACATGGGAATTATTCTTTAGTAATATACTATCCAAAGTGAAGATCAAGTTTTGCCAGGTTCTTCTAAGCTTGTGCTCTGAAGTTGCCAAATAGATTAGGGTTTTTTTTTTTTCAAGAAAGTACTACCAAGGTAAAAGAGTAACCCTAAAATTCCAAAAGAAAATTGAAAAGAGTAACTTCACTATTATAAAAAAAGATAAAGAGATAGTAAGTTTTTATTTGATGCGCAACATTTAGTTTATAACATTACAAGTCTGACGGGTCATAATCTCTTATGAGCCACAACCTTGACAGAAATTCAAAAATTACAAATACATTCTTGTATATTTCCCCACAAAGCCATTCCGGCTGTATTGCAAGTCAGTCTCAGCAATAAGATTGGTGCTCAGACTCAGAAACATGCTAAATGATGAACAAATGTTCTTGAGCTGTGATGTAAATTGGATGTACTTACTTTAGTCTTATGATACTGGGATTTACGGTCACAAGGTTGGTTTTACTGCCAACATCTTTACTAAGATTTCCTGTTGTTGGGGGGAGGTTACACCTGAAGTTTGGAAGAGAATTATTTTCAAAATACAACTTAAAAAATAAAGTACATACATACAAATACATACATATGTGATCACCGTCATTTTTTTCATTTTTATTGAATTTATTGGGGTGGCACTTGTTAACAAAATTATATAGGTTTCGGGTGCACACTTCCACAGCACATTTGCACACTTTACTTTGTGTTCACCACCAGAAGTCATGTCTCTGTCCATCACCATTTGTCCCCCTATACCATCCTCCACCTCCCCCCATTAACATTTTATTGAGAAAATCATTGCTGTTAAGAGTTCCTCAGAATTTATCTGATTTTTATTTAAAACTAATAAGTACTGAACTCTTAGTTGATTCAACATTGCATAAAATATACAAATTTGATCAATGATTTCAACATTGGTTGAAACCTTTATATGTAACAAAACTAGAAATGACAATTAAACCTTGCCTAGCTTTTGAAGAGTTCACACTCGTCTTATTAAAATTATTATTTATATTTATCATCACCAATTTACAGATTTTAAAACACTGAGGAATTGTGATGAAGGTTATAGAGTCTGCTAGAACAAAGATTATATATATTTTTTAAAAACTAAAATCTCCTGATTCCCAAATGGACAGTTTTCTCACCAAATTATGCTGTTAATAACTAAAATCTTAATATTGTTATAATGATGTTTAGTACTCTTTTGAGTACTAATTTGTTTTCACATTGGAAAACGAATTAAAAATTGTCATTTTGAGTAATTATATTTCTGTCACAAGAAAAGGGAAAGTTGGTTATGACTCCCTAAGTATCGTTGACAGAATTTCAAATAGACCTAGTCTTTAAAACTATACATGTAAAAGGAGCATCTCTTCCTTTTCTTAAGGAAGTCTACTTAAAGTTCATGTGCTCTGAAGAATGAATGAAGTTGAAAATTCTGTTCCATGCTCTATTAAACATACAAACAAATGAAACATGTACTTCCCACCTTGATAAAAAAGATATATCTGAAAGTAATTAAATATAGCACTTTAGAGAAAACACTAATCATAGATAATAGACCAGAATTGACCTCAATAGTTGGCTTCCTGTAAACAAGTCTACTTTCTAGGACAGTCTCATATTCTGTTGAAGAATAAAAGGTCATTTCCATATACAGTAGTACCAAAGGAGACTGCTACAGGAAATACTGGGTGTTGTATATACACAGTAGTACAGGAAAGCCATTCGTCACCTTGGTTCCTTATACCAACTGATAGCTCCAATCTTTTAAAATGAAAAAAATAGTAATAATAAGCACTTTGCAGGTTGTTTTTATAAAATATGAACATGTACAGCCAAAATAATTACAGGCTTACAAAGTAAATACATTTTGATGACACCAGTGACGTCTAGCTCTCATTTTGCCTTTTGCTTTGTAAGGCAAACTTCAAAGGGAACTCTATATGCAGAAAGGTACCTACCATCAGCAAATGTAGACTCCAGAAATATATGCATTTATTTATTTATCTTTTTGTTAATTCTCACTCAAGGATATTTTTCCATTGATTTTCAGATAGAGTGAAAAGGAGGGAGGGACAGAGAGAGAGAGAAACATCAATGTGAGAGAGACACATCCATTGGTTGCCTCCTGCATGACCCCGACTGGGGCCAGGGATCAAACCTGAAACTCAGCCATGTGTCCTTGACTGGGAATTGAACCTGAGACCCTCGGTCTGCAGGCTGACACTCTAACAACTGAGCCAAACTGAGCAGGGCTATATGTATTTGTTTTGAAGTTATAAATTAAGTAGCTGTTGAGGTTAAAAAAAAGTTTTTTAAATAAACTTGTATTTTCTATATGTGCATAAAGTCAATTGGATATTTAGGCATGATACCACAGCTGTTTAGGGGAATTTTAAGTTTCTAAAAAGTCTATTACAAGAAGAATTATTTACCTTCATGATGGCTTTTTAGTAACCAACGGCTAAATCATTCAGGTATTGGCCCCTTTAACATTCATCATGAGGAACACACCCAATAATTGTTGTTCTGTCATTACCTTCAGCATAAACATTTTAAATGAGATTAAGGTGAGGAAGGACCTACAGATCAATTTCTTTTTTATTTGCTAAAAAGGGCAGCATTGAATAGATAAGGATCAAAGGATCTTCTCTGATGTATAAAATCAGTATTCTTGAAATAGGAAGAAAGAGATTTCAATTTACCTTTTTACAAGGTGCAGTTGTGGCTCAGTTGGTTGGGCACTGTGCTGTGCATTGAAATGTTGCCGGTTTGATTCCTGACCAGGGTACATGCCTGGGTTGCAGGTTCAATCTCTGGTGGGTGGTGTGCAGGAGACAGCCAATCGATGTTTTGCTCTCCCCTAAATGTTTCTCTCTCTCTCCCTTGCCTCTCCTCTCTCTGTAAAAATCAATTAAAAAAATATTTTAAAGGTGCATTTCAACTGCAATCCATTCTCAGAGAGATGAATCACTTTTCCTTCATACTCTGAAAGAAGAGATGCCCTGTAATGTGGCTTATGAGTACAAGCACACATGGAAACCACTTTTGTTTCTATTTTTGCAAGCTAGCTGGTGTTGAGATATAAACATTTAAAAGTAACATAATTTAGAAGCTGCACAAATTTTTTACATTTCAAGTCAGAGGAGCCACAATATCCTTAAGACAATGAAGGCTCTGACAAGTCCTGCAGTGCTGGTCCTCTTGCACCATGATTTCACCCAGAGCTTCTAAAAAGTAAATGATCACGGAACATTTTCATCCATCTGGTATCCACAGTCAGAGGAACTAATGACCCATTTAACACTGCAGGAAAGCCTACCAAAATAATTTGTAGACTTAAAAAGCACAGCTCAAAGGTCAAACTTGATAGTTGATCTTCACACCGACCCTGTAAAATATCCAACTGGTTTTTGGTTCACAGAAACCAGCTGATTTTCTTACCTAAAAACAAAGTCAGATTTGTCTATTTCAGCTCCACAGAGAGACGTATTCAGAATCCCCCCATTTCCAACCACGGCACACTGATTGTAAGGGCGCTCCACCAAGGGCTGCGACTAGCAGGGAAAAGGAAAAACCACCATGACATAGTTTTACTTTTAGAACCATAAGCATCATCAGTTTAATTCAAGTAGCTTAATGTTCACACATGCTAAGGAAAACACACACACACACACACACACACACACACACACACACACACAATAAAACAAGAAACAGAGAAGTAGCAATACCATAACACGTAGATCAACTTATGACTTAAATAAAAAGTCCTCTAAACTTATTATTTCTCTGGAAAGAAACACACAGCATATCACATAATGTAATAATTCAAAACATAATATATTTGTATACAACATGTAATATAATGCAGTTTACATCACATGATTAGATCAAATGAGAACGGCAAAATCCCACATTGTGCCTTACCAACAGGAACGATTTCAGCAAAAGAGAGAGAGGAGAGCAATTGGAAAGTGGTATAATATCCTCTTTGCTGAGAAATAAAATTAATAGCTAATTTAGCAAAATTTCCCGTGCTTCTTAAATAGTTAGACCTTCAGGCTCAGTGGTGGTAGGAGACTTATGCCTGCCATGTCTGCAAATGCCCAGCCATGGCATTTCAGGGAGGCCTCCCCACTCTGTGGGGGCATATTTCAAATTAATTTCCCAGCCCTGAATCTTTTAATTTTTCCCAAGGACCCAACTTGCCTACCCGCAAAGACTCCCACTTTCTCTCAGTCCTCCCCAGTCTGAAACATAACTTTTCACTCCAACACTACACTTTTCCTTTGCTGGTCGCTTTGCCTGGAGGAATGGAGTAACCTTGACCAACAGCAAGGGCGCCAGCTCATATTCCACAGTGACAGGGTCCCGAGGAACCTATTTTTCTCTTTAGAATTTGAGTCCTCAAGGCAGAGAGTATGTTTATTACTTTTCATTCTTCCTCGTCTTTCACTGCCGACCTAGCACAGTGCAGTGACTTTAAATCAGTGTCCCACCCTGCCCTGGCCGGTTTGGCTCAGCCGTTAGAGCGTCGGCCTGTGGACCAATGAGTCTCGGGTTCGATTCCGGTCAAGGGCATGTACCTTGGTTGAGGTTCATCCCCGGCCCTGGTCGGGGTCATGTGAGAGGCAACCAGTCGATGTGCCCTCTCACATCGATGTTTCTCTCTCTCACTCCCTCCCTCCCACTCTCTCTAATGATAGATGGGAAAATATCCTCGGTTGAGGAATAAGAAGAAAACTTAGTGTCCCAGCCTGGTGCGGCCCCAGCGTCGTGCTGAAGCCTACTTGTGAGGAGCTTGTGAGAGGCAATAGGTAAACATTCAGGAATTTTATGAGCGGATTGTTAAACCATTGGTAAATTAAAATTGACCACATTGGGGGTGTTTACATCGCTAAAATGAGCAAATGCTACAAGTCAGGGCACCTGACCCCCCAAATCCAGTTTTCCAGCAGTACCAGCGACACCCCGAGGCCAGTGTGGTCTGGGCCGCCCGGCAGACCCCAGAATCACTGTGACTGCCATCTGCTCCTGCTGGTGCCTCTGGGAGATGCCTGACAAGCAAAAGAACTTTCTTTCAGCACTTTTGGGTTTGTCTTTAAAAATTAAAAACCATAAAGTACTTATTATGCAAGGCTACCAAGTGCATAACTTACCAAGGCCTTTAATCCACACAACAACGGTACAAGCATTTTACAGATGGGAAGCGGAGGTGTGAGTTAAAACTACAAAGTGGCAGAGCTGGGATTCAAACCCAGGCAGTCTGTGCCAGAGTCCTTGCTCTTAACCCCTATACATTACACAGCTTCTCCCATCTGGTTCATAAAACATTAACTTAAGTACGCAACTTTTTTCTCTTTGTATCCGCAGTGCCTAGCAGATTGCCTGGCTCTTAAAGGAACGGTTCCCAAATACCTCAGGGAGTTTCAAGTCACTAAACTTCTGGCTCAAGGTATCTTCAGACAGCGTTTACTAACCACACAATAACTAATACAATAAATTCTGAATTTTATAGATAGGGTAGGATGCAAATAGGCTTTTTATGGCACAATAGAGAAGGTTACTGAGGGAAGCAGATTTCCAAGAAAGCAGTCAAAACAGTGTACCTTTTTCTCTGGCTTTTTGGTCAGCCAGGGGAGACCATCCATATGCTTTGGGATCTCAGTGTTCAGGAAGAATTTAAATAAGTTACAAACATCAGCATTCCCTAACATAAACCTCCTAAGAAAATGCAAATGCACACAACTCCAGTGTCTGCACACTGCTCACTCTGATTGAAAACCAAGTTGGTTTTCCTTTGCAAGTTACTTAGCAAAGTTTTTGGAGAAGGTGACTTCACCATGTTTCATCAAAAGCATCCACTGCGGTCTCTTGCTGTGTTGCCCAGCAGTTCTGAGCTGAGTGCAGCAGAGCAGAACTGAGCAGGGAGGACAAGGAGGACGCGCAGGAAGCGAGGTGGCGAAGAGGTCGGCACCCCCAGGAGCCACATCCACGGAACCCGGAATATTTAAGCAACACAGAAACTGCTGCCTAGCATTGCGGTTGTTACTGGATTAGCCTCAGAAATGTCCTGCCCCAGCTTTTAAAAATCAGTTACAAATTTGGAAAATAAATATCGTTAATTGCATGCAGAATTATCCAGCCTCTGTTAAGTTATTCTTTTCAAGGTGCTAATTAGAAGCAAAAAAATACCTGCTGCTTCTCTGTTCTGGTCAGTCTAAAGTGAGAAAAATACTAGCAAAAGTTGCATGGATGAAAGGGTTGCTCCTTGGGGAACTCTCCCGCCTTCCTTGACAGGGAATATAAATATTCTTTAATTATTGTCTTTCCAATTATTGGTAATTCAACGCACCGTGATGACATTTTAGAATGTTTTATGAGTTACGTTTTTGCCCCCCTTTTTTCTCCAAAAACGTGTAACATTTTTTATTGTTTCCTATTTATTTTCATTTATTCCCAGAAAAATAATCTTCCTTTGAATTGTAATAATTTTTTAAAAAATGAAGCAACTTATATGATGAACAATAAATTAGTTGTAAGAAGTCAAATGTTCAAAAAAGTTAATTGTAAGAAACTAATAGTCTATAGTTGGTAAATTACATATATAAAGTGATCTCATTTTGACCATATTGACTTGGCCTAATTGCTCTTAATCAAACAATTAAAAAAGATTCCTGAGAGTGTATGTTTCTAAGCAATGGGATATTGTTTATGACAAAAGTTTCTCCCAATTTTGAATTTATATTAAGGGACAGGTTTCCTCTTGTATTGATACTCTATCATTCATTATTCATTAGTTACTTTAACAAATATGTGATACGTGCATTTTGTACTAGGATCTGTTCTAGGAGACTGGGATACATCAGTAAACACAGGCAAAAATCTGTCTATGGGGGTTATGTCTATTGATCAAAAATTCTTACATATTTACTTCCCAAAGATTAACTGCATAAACCTACAGTGTGTGTGTGTGTGTGTGTGTGTGTGTGTGTGTGTGTGTGAAGGAACTGACTCGGTCACTACACTGACAATTGGAAGACTCTGATTGCAGGTGAAAAATGGTCATCCTCCTAAGCGCCAGTAATTACTGTGCAGAAAGCCCAAGTAGCTCATCTCGTTCAAGGATGAGTCATGAAGACTCAAGAAGTGGGAAGAGCTTATCATTTAAGACATAAACATCACCCCTGCAGAGCCACCATGCATTCGAAATTGCCTTTTTAAAATGGACTGCTATACATATCTTATACAACAGAGCATGGTCTTTTAATTAATGAACTCCTCCATTATTAAGAGTTATAACTGAAAGTGAGAGGAAATTCGCCTGGAACGATGACACAAATAAACCACAACAAATCTCTACTCACCACTGGAAACATATTAAAAATGTTCTTTCTAATTAGGATTGCATTTTTACTTTCCACCTCGTAAGTCATGTTAGTCCCAACTGGAGTATTATGTTGAGAAACAATGAAGTTTTGGACAGCATCACAACAGGAAGCAAGTTTCGCTCTGCAAAAAAATAAGAATAAAAGTGAGCCACGGAATAAGATTAAGAAACCAAAGATACAGGCTACCATGGGAAATGCAAAAGAGGATATTGCCACATTGACTTTCTGAAGGAAAGAAATCATTTACAAAGAAGACGTTTTTGTCTCATTTCATTCTAACTGGCCCTGCACGGTGAAATGGCAACTTGGTGGGTAAAATAGCAAAGAATGTCAACAGGCTTACTTATATGTAGGTAGGGACCCTCTCACAAATAGAAAATACTCATTAAGCCCAGCCAGTGTGGCTGAGTGGTTGAACATCAACCCATGCACCAACAGGACGTCGGTTCGATTCCCAGTCAGGGCACATGCCCAGGTTGTGGGCCCGATCCCCAGTGGGGGTCATGCAGGAGGTGGCCAATCGATGTTCTCTCTCATCAATGTTTCTATCTCTCTCTCCCTCTCCCTTTCTCTCTCTCTAAAATCAATAAAGAAAAAAATATTTTAAAAAATCAAAGCAGTCACCAAAGCAATATGCCATCATTTACTATGAGACAAATCCATGAAAAGATTCATTACAGTGATTTTTTTTTTCAAGCTCTAGAGGCATGATTCACAAATACAAATTGTATTTAAAGTGTAAAACTGTATGTTTTGATATTCATATAGATTATTAAATAATCACTACAATCAAGCTAACTAATATATCCATCACCTCACATAGTTATTATGTTTTATATATATATTTTTGTGAGCACTTAAGATCTTCCCTCTTAGCAAATTTCAAGTATTTCTAATTACAGTAACATTGCTATACATTAATACAGTGAATTTTTAAGTGAAGCAAATTTAAAGTTGCCATTCCTTATAGAAAGCCCAGAAAAAAATGTAACTCAGTACCAAGCTATATTTCAAATCTATTACTGTGGAGTGAAATATCATCATTAGAAAGAAAACCCAGAAAAAGTCCTTGTTGTGAGTTTGCCCCCACCTTCAGGCTTCATATTAGGTTTATTTACATAATCCTCCAGGGATGTAGATCCCACAGTATATCTTTTTTTTTTTTTGGTACGTGTCCCTAGCGGGATCCGAACCCAGGAATCTCTGGTCCGCAGGCTGACGCTCCAACCGCTGAGCCAAACTGGCCAGGGCTACATCTCTTGATAATTATCCTAGACTTGAATCAACCTTGAAGTCAAGAGATTCTTCCATTTGCACAACTGAACTAGTACTTCACTTAAATCCATTTCCCTTGTTAATTTTTCAGAGAATCTCCTCAGGAAAACACTTCATGTAATTGAAAACGGTAAGCAAGCAAAACTTGGCCTTTTCAGTCTTAAAGAGTTTTGTAGAATTTCCTCTTCTCTCAGATTTTCCTCGGAGGAGTGTTTTTTTTTTGTTGTTGTTGTTTCTTTGTAATTTTATTCATCTTGTTCCCCCTTAAGCCTTTACTCATTCTCCACTATTCAGTGGGCAGAGCTGACCATGGGCAGTGCTAACACCCTGAATTCATTCACTTTGTTATGGCTTTCTGGTATACCTGAAGGGTCTACTTTTGTATATGTTCCTACTGAATTTTGTCCCTTTATAAAAGTACAATGTTCTTATCTATCCTGGTCATTTTGAAATATAATCCAGGTTTCCTGAATTCCAATAATTCTCATTATATTTGTACCTTAAAATCAAGATTTTCAACAATACTTTTTATCAGTTCATTTAAAATAATACATTCTTCTTAACTGAATCTTATCACCTACTTATCATCCCTCTTTGTATTTCAGAATTTAAGAGATTAGCAAAAGAAAAAATACCTGAAAATGAAGTGATGTATAGTCAAAACATAATACTAAGTAATTTTTAATTATAAATTTAATCATAAGCATTCACATGACATATTGCAAGCTCAGGAATCCTTACGTGTTTTATGATTTCACTTACATGTGGAATCTAAGAAACAAAACAAATGAACAAATAAAATTGAAACAGACTCATAGATGCAGAGAACAGACTGGTGGTTGTCAGAGGGGAGGAGGTTGGGGTGGGTGAAAAAGTTAAAGGGACTAAGAAGTTCAAATTGATAGTCACAAAATAGTCACAGGAATGAAGAGTACAGCACAGGGAATATAGTCAATAATGTAATAAATATGCATGGGCTCAGGTGGGTACTTGAAATACTGGTGGAAATCACTTTGTAAAGTATGTGGTTGTCTAACCACCATGCTGTACATCTGAAACTAATACAGAATAATGTTGAATATAAACTACAATAAAAAAAACAAAAAACAAAAAAAACCTTATGTGTTTATAATTTTAAATGTCTCTTTTAGGCCCCATTTTGAGAAAAGATGATGGAATTAATTCTCATTTAGCTTTGACAAGTAATTTAATTTTTCTAATGATAGCCTGTGCTTAAAAGAATATTACATCACCAACCTCCCCCCCACCCTCCCACTAACCAGAATACCCTTCTGGTTTTTTAATATTAATATATTTTGTTCTGAAATTATATTTTTAACGTTGTATTATAACATTTTCAAATCTACAGGAAAGTTGAAAGAATTGAACAATGAGCACTTGAATAACCACCAGCTACACTGGACAATTAACTTTTTACTTTATTTGTCTTATTGTGTATTTATCCATCAGTCCATTATTGTAGTTATAACAATTCAAAGTAAATTGCAGGTGTCAGTACCCTTTACCCCTAAACACTTCAGCATGTATTTCATTATTTTGGAGTAAATTTTACATACAATAAAATCATAAGTGCGTTTGGTACATTCTGAGAGATGTATACACCCCTGTTATCCACTCCCCTATATCAAGATATAGGATATTACGAACCCCCAGATAATTCCCTCATATCCCTTCCTAATCTGTCTTCAGTCCTCCCTCACCTTGAGGCAACCACATTTGTGATTTTTTTTTTTACCAAAAATTAGTTTTGTCTGTTCTAGAATCTATATAAGCAGAATCATATAGTATGCATGCTTTTGAAAAAGACTTTTTCTCTTGGCGTAAATGTTTTGGCAATCCATGTCCGTTGCTGCATGTATCAGTAGCTGGCACCTCTGGGTTGCTAGAGTAGATTCCATGGCACAGGGTGCCAGAGCTCGGGGCTCCTATCCTCACACTTTTAGAGAAATCACTGTCCAAATCAAAGTTAAACACCTCGTCACTCATAATAACCTCTGAGGAAAAAATGGCAGAATAATGATCCAAACTGTTATTTCTGAAGCCTGCCTTGTTTCACTAACTAATGGGACTTTTTAAGCCTTTATATACAGTGGCAGAATTATAAATGTATGCTCTTTGTCACTTCCCAGCTCATCCATGTGGTAGGGACCCTGTAAGAACCAGTGTCCATATAACGCTGAGCTGCTTATAACAAACAAACAAAAATGGAATTTTATCTCTGCTATTCCATCTCCCATCATGCCCCCAAACAGTAAGTTCTGATCCTTGGTGATGAGATATGTTCACAGGGAAGGGCACGGTAATATTCACCCTCTGTGAAAAGAGCAGGAGACATTAAGAAATGAAGGACACGATATCAACTAGACGTGACGGTTACTTTTACGTCAGCTTGACTGGGCTGAGTCAATGCCCAGATAGCTGGTAAGACAATATTTGTGGGTGTGTCTATGAGGGTGTTTCTAGAAGAGATCAGCATTTGAATCAGCAGACTAAGTGAAGAAGATCTCCTCACCAACGCAGCGGGCATCATCCCATCCACTGAGGGACAAAAGGCAGAAGAGGGCAAATTTGCTCTCTGCTTGAGCTAGAACATCCATCTTCTCCTGTTCTTGGTCCCTGGTGCTCCTTGTTCTCAGACAAAGGCTTACCCCATTGGCCCTCCAGTTCTGGGACCTTCAAACTCACACTGGAACTTACAGCATCAGCTTTCCTGGGTCTCCAGCTTGTGGATGACAGATAATAAAACTTGCCTCCATAATTACATGAGTCAACCCCTTGTAATAAATCTCTTTCTGTGTGCTCATACATATCCACGAGGCTCTGTTTTCCCATAAAACCCCAACTAAGAGATATTGGTACGGAGAAGGGGGGTGTTGCTGCAACAAATACCTAAAACCGTGGAGGTGGCCTTGGGACTGGGTAATAGTAGAGATTGGAAGGGTTCTGTGCATGTGCTAGAAAAAGTCTAGATTGTCATGAAAAGAACTGTCAAGGTACTTCTGGTGAGACCTCAGAAAGAAAAGAAGACAGCTGTGGACAAAGCTTCCATCCTAAAGAGAACATTAGTGATCCTGATTGGAAAGAACATTGGTCGATACCTGGAGAGCGAGGGCCATTCTGATGAGGTCTCACACAATATGATGAACGTGTTATTGAACAGTAGAGAAAAGGCCATCCTTGTTATAAAGTGGCAAGAACTTGACTGAATTGTGTTACAATTCTAGTGTTTTATGGTGGAAGTTGTGAGCAATGAAACTGAATACTTAATTAAGGAGGTTTCTAAGGCAAATGTTGAGGAAGCAGCTTGGCTCCTCTTGACTGCGTACAGTAAAATGCAAGAAGAGGGAAGTGACTTGAAGAGACACCTATTAATAAAAAGGGAAGCAGAATTTAAAGATTTGTACATTCTCAGCCTATACATATGGCAAAAATGAGCAAGTATGCTCAGGAGAGAACACTACACATGGGACCAAGTTTACACTGGGTAAGGAGATTAAGGTGGGTGTGAACCCCGGATTTAATCAGCCACACCTGCAGGGAAAATGCCAGTTTGAACTGAAGAGGAACGAGATGGAAAGGAATGAAGGAAAGCTGTTGGAGTTCTTGGATCTTATAAGGATGGGATTATAAAGCGATTTGGCTACCAACGTGCTCTGTTGTTGAAGACAAGGGAAGAATGATCACAAAGGTGATTCAGAGATCAACAGGGCTGCCTTCTCAGTTACAGAAGGGGAGACCTGCTTTCAATGGGCCCCAGGGCCTCAGCCCAAAGCCTTGAGGGCAGGGCCCCCGAAGACACGGGGAAGGGAATGCCCGGCCGGCTGC